GTCGATTCAAGGGTCAGATTTTGATGCCAAACATCGGTTACGGCTCATCCAAACTGACCCGTCATATGCTGCCCAATGGGTTCCGCAAAGTCCTGGTCCACAACGTGAAGGTATGTCTCGTGACAGGTGTTGCCGGCGATGACTAATAACTGGATGTGTTTGTACGACAGGAACTGGAGGTGTTGATGATGATGAACAGGCGCTACTGTGCAGAGATCGCGCACTCCGTGTCTTCGAAGAAGCGCAAAGATATCGTCGAAAGAGCCAAACAGTTGGCGATTAGACTCACGAATCCTAACGCGAGGATCAGAAGCGAAGAGAATGAGTAGACTTTGAATGGGATTTGATTTTTGGTTATTTAATAAAACTAAGAGTTTTTGATTAAAACAATTATTTATTGCTTTCATTATTGAATGTCTGGTTCACTCTTGTTTAGAGCTAATTGTATGTCCAATGAGTGGTATTTGGATGATAGTTACGGTGATAAATGAGTGTATATTGTAGTAAGCGGGAGGTGTGGTGTGTTGGCCACCGGGTGTCTGGTGAGGACTGTTGTCCAGTGAGTGTCTGCCGTAATGTATGTGTAATGCATTGGTGATGGTGTTGGTCATGCGCAGTGGTGTCCCACACACTGGGGGAGTCAAGTGAGCGTATGCTGTGTTGTGCTGCTGTTGAGTGGCAGTGAGTCTGTCGAGTGAGTACTGACTGGTCTATGAGTACAGTATCTGACTGTGAGTTCAGTTGACTGTCTGTGGCTGTAGAGGGAGAGGACAGGGATGTGTTGTCTGTAGACATCGACCACTGCTGGCTGTGTCTGAGTGTCCGACCATCGTATCGGTGCTGATCCGTTATTAGTGGCTATTTGTGACAAACAGTGTGTCAGTTGTCAAGACGTGAACCCCAGAGGAGTCGCAGTCTGTCGTGTCAGTGAAGTGACAAACCATTGGTCCGATTGGTGATCACCTGAAGACTGATCCAACGATATCGCATCGACGCATCGTGCAGGGACGCAGTGGTGATCAGGATCTGTTAGACGGCTGTGGAGTCGGACTCATCACTCAATCCATTCATACGATGTCTTCATTGGTCTCACATTTATGACCTTGAGTTCAATCCATAGCTGTTCCGCCATTAAGACGATCCCCGACACCACTAACACTTGTGACCATTTGAAGAGATAATCGGTGCCCGAAGAGCAGCCAATCCCTCACTGCAGACATGTCTGACGACCGGTCCGGAGATGAATCGCATCCGACGTCAAGTAATTATGCGTTT